CCCCGCCCCGCCCCGCCCTCTCACCGCGGCATCGGAATAACCCCGCGTCATTGACTTCCATTCCTTTCACTCTCTCGGCCGGATCCACCCGCGCTCGCCCGCCCTGGTGCGGTGGGACGCCTCGGCCGGGCACCTGTCTCTGCTTCTGGCGAGTCATTTTGAGACCTTTTGTCGCCTTCCCCCTTTCCCCCGCAGCCACAAGGTGTTCCGCGTGCAGCCCACGACGCACACTCAGGTGACGACGCTGAACCAGCTCCTGGAGAGCGGCGACCTGGACGCCTGGACCAAGTCCAGGGAGCTGGACTCTCCCTGGGACATCATGGTCAACCCATTGAGCGCGGCCGAGCTCAAGAAGACGCTCCAGGAGCACGACATCAAATGGGAGGTGCTCATCCCCGACGTGGCCAGGTGAGGGTGACGCACCAACATGAACCAAACCATCTCGTATGGTATGCTAAACATGTCTATTTTCGGCCACTCATCAGACTATCCGTGTTTAATCTGACACAGCAATTGTTTTCGAACAGGACATTACAGAGGGCAGCGTCCGAACCCACAGTGACGTCCAGGTCGGCGTCGGGCACCGTTGGTGGGGCGCGCTACCTGCGGTACAAGGAGGTCGGTGACTACATGAACGACCTGGTCAAGCGCTACCCCGACATGGTGACGGTCAAGTCCATCGGCAAGACGAGCGAGGGCCGAGACCTCAAGGTGATTCAGATCTCGTCGGGGAAGTCCGATGCCGAGGCCGAGGCCAAGGCCAGGAAGGACGACAGCGGCGTGGAGCAGGAAGACAAGCCCAAGTCCAAGCCGGTCGTGTGGATCGACGCGGGGATACACGCGCGCGAGTGGATCGCGCCCGCCACGGCGCTCTACATCGTGCACCAGCTGGTGGAGAACGCCACGCACACGGCCAGCCTCACGCGGGACGTGGACTGGCACGTGCTGCCCCTCATGAACCCCGACGGCTACGAGTACTCGCACACCACGGTGAGGACGGGGTGCTCCAGGGCGGGGCGGGGTGAGGCGGGGTGAGGCGGGGCGGGGTGAGGCGGGGC